CTGCTGCATTAAAGAAAAAACATTAAATATTAGAATATATATAAAGGCGGATTGGTAATAACATGTCTAAATACATATACTTTTCGGGAAAATACAATATATCAGTGTTTTTTTTTTCAGTTTTTAATGAACATCATTCGTCGATAAAAATATTATCAATCAAGCTAACTAAATTCAAATTTCACTGTCTGATAGGGGACACATTTGCATTGAAGAAAGAACATTAAATTTTATAATATATATAATGGGGGACTGGTTAAATAATGTATAAATACATGTACTTTTCGGGAAAATGCAATAAAACAGTGATTATTTCAGGGTTTTAATAAACATCATTCGTAGATAAAAATATTACCAATCAAGATAACTATATGCAAATTTCACTGTCTAATAGGGGACATTATCGCATTGAAGGAAAAAACATTTCATAATATATAGAGGACTGGTAATATAATGTATAAATACATGTACTTTTCGGGAAAATGCAATAATTCAGTATTTTTTCATCAGAGTTTTTAAAGAACATCATTCGTCAAAAAACTTTTACCAATCAAGATAACTAAATGCAGTTATCACTGTCTGATTGAGACAATGGTGCATTGAAGGAAAAACATTAAATTTTATAATGTATATAATGGGGGACTGGTTATATAATGTATAAATACATGTTCTCTTCGGGAAAATACAATAAATCAGTGTTTTTTCAGAGTTTTTAATGAACATCATTCGTCGCTCAATCATTTTAGTAATCAAGAGAACCGGATACAAATTTCACTGTATGGTAGGGGACACTGCTGTATTAAAATCTAAACATTAAATATCATAAAATATATAAGGGGGGCTGGTAATTTAACATATAAATACATGTACATTTCGGGGAAAAATAAGTTTGATCAACTAAATACGGTGATTTTACTTTGGCAGAAGTGGCAAATAAAATAAAGTGTGTGATGTGTTTTCTTTAGTGCAATATAAAGATTTTAACATTTAATAACATATAATGAATACAAAACGATGGCACGACGCTGCCTATTATTCATAAAGTAACTGTTTCAAATACATATACGAGTCGGATAAAGTATATAAGGTGATAAATGGTGCTTTAATGGATAAAAGGTGGTGTAGTAACCGTACACAATATGTCGAAAAATGTCGTCTGATAACGGTATACATAAACAAAAATCGTCTGCTTAAATTATGGAAATAGAAGTTGCTTCATAAACTTTGGAGGACTTCCATTGTCATAGTCTGATCACGCCGTAATACGAACAAAACAAGTCTGCTCGCGGCGAAATAACAAGGATACCCTCAGAATATTGATGAATGTAATAACACAATCCTTAGATTAATATACACTTTTGATAGCTAGTCGGTAGTTTCCCATCAGGGGCTACAGCGCTTGTCGCGCTCTGACTACTTTACTCAAAAAAATTAAATACTAAACACATCAGAACAAAAGTAATACTTAGTATGATAAATAGTGCAAGGGCTACAGCGCTTGTCGCGCACTAACTTCTTCACTAAATATTAAACCCAACAGAACAATAGTAATATCATATATGCATATAAATTGTCTGTTTGTTAATAAACCTAATAATGGTGTGCACACGTCGCTCTCCCAGGTGTTCGATACGGCACCGGGGGGCTGGCACTATTATTGATGAGAAAAGAACCAACAACAGAAATCATTTATAGAAGATATATCACTTCAATGATTTAAACAGAAATTTTGAACATAGCGCCAATTATGACGTCACAAATATGTACTAATATTTTCAAACTCAAATGTCTCGAAAACGGTAAATGATAGACCCTTTAAACCAAGTATATTTGGATTTAGAATGAAAAGAACTTTCAATTGGTTCTATCTTTAAGTTAATCTGAGAACATTTTTAAAATAGAGGTTTAATGGCCATAATTCGAGAACAGCTGAAAATCGAATAAAAGTGTAGGTTTAATTTTAAAGGACTTTAACAGATCTAACAATCGAAACAAATATCTTGAAAATTGATATCGTAAAGTGTTGCACAAAAGACAAAAGAGGCGTTTTTTCTAGATACACAATGTCAGAATTTATCCAACTGAACTTGTTAAGTGTTCATTTTGAAGAGTTAATAAATCAATAAAATGAAAAGAAACATATTTCCATTCGTATAACGCGGGTCGGGGAAATCACGTCATAAACATAAGGGCGTCTTTCTTTTCTCCCTATTCTAAATAAAAACTCATACAAATATTAAATTTGACATTTCAATAAGCTATAGTCCACATATCCAACCCTAAGTAAAAACACGCTAGGCATTGCGGCGACTTTAAGGTATTACCACCCTAACGTGCACTATAAGGAACTGAAAAATTTATATCATAGGTCAGATATATACTTTAAAGTACACCTGTATGAAAAAAGTAAACAAACCGTACGGAAATCGAGTTATGGTCACTTTTATGAACTGAAGCTAGGATGTATGAGGACCCTTTTTCAGAAATGAGTAACCTTTAAATAATCTGCAATAACATTCTAATGAAAAACGTTTTCCCATTAAGATTTGGTAAGAAACAAAAAGTGCTATTTAGCCAACAATCAATGTAAACAAAATAATGGTTTCTACTCAAAATTTATAAAATATGTGTAATATGTTACCCTACCCCGCCCATTTTTAACACATGTTTGACCATTTTCCTACTTAGGGAGCCTAATTTAAAAACATCCTTAAAATTTACCCAAATGAGTGCCTGTTTTCAACGTTTCCCTAAATTTTAAAAAAGGTATATTGGTTAAACTTGTAAAAAATTAAATACTTTTACCGTCTAGTTTTGATTTTATTACACTTTGAAAAATAGCAGGTACCCATATTTATTACTAGATTTAGCATTATTTAGCCAATATATACCTATATAAATTAAAATAATAAAAAATAAACCCTTTGTTCTACCCAAAATGGATGGAGAGATACACAAAATTAATAATGTTAAAAGAAAAAAAAAGAAAGAAAAAAGGTGACTCATCTAAGAATTTAGTACAGTGAAATCCTTTATCTCATACAGGATTTCTGATAATTTATGTCGTTGAAACCAATGCAAAATTTATAGTTCAGTATGTTCAAATTATGAATATGTTCAAATAAATGCTTAATGTAAAAAAAAGAACTTGCTATTAACAGTTGAATAAGAATAATGCCTACAGAAATAACACAGAAGTAAACTCTTCGGGTTTTTTTGCTGGTGACAAGGGCAATCAAACCAAAAACAAAACAAAAACATGAATAATCACAATCGCACTCACGCACACACAAACGTACAACGTTGATCACCGGATTATTTCTGTTAAAAATAATCAAGTTGATTTTCAAATAATAAAACGCAATTTATAGATCAATACAGAATAGGCAGTATGATATGAGATAAATAGTATAATATTTTATAACAAGGCACAACGATTGTTATAGGCACATTGCATGTAGCATAGTTACATGGTATGATCGAATAAATCAAACACACATGACATTAAAAAGAATATTTCGCATTGATTCGTCATTTGAATCGGAACAATCCTTTTTGCTCCTTACTAACTAACCATATATAATCATTTCATCAATGATTATTGTAACATAATACCACTAGATATTTTATCAAGAATAGAAATCTTGCCACATTCTACGGTAGTTATGAGACATTTATCGGCAAGGGAAAAACGTTGAACTTCGACATTCAACGTTATAAATGCGACACTTAACGGCAGAAAATATTATGTGGTTATGAATTATAACAGCGTTATACAGATCACTTCTGAACAAAATGCATTTAATTAAACTTAAACAATCTATAAAAAATCGCATCGCTCCTTATTAGTGATATTCACATACGTTAGAACTTATGTTTCATCAACGTAAAAAAGTCTGCATCAAAAGAAATAAGACAATTTAGCGTTTTGACAGTGCTGTGTGTCTATTCTCCTGGCAAGAACGTGCATAAAAGATATTCAATATTTTAAATGTGTATTTTTAATGATTTTTCTGTCACATATATTTGAACAATCCCCCTACATTTCTTCCATTTTTTGGCACAATGCTAAACTAGTTTTAAATTCACGGTGTACACGTATTTTCGTTTCGAATCGAGATCTATAAGACAACTTTAAAAATAAAATCAATTTGATAACGCTCAAGACAAAATATCTGGTTTTGAGATAAAGACATATGAAAGTAATAGCATATGAAACGACTTGGTTACATGAGTATTACACTGGCTGGGGTGTTTCTTCTGAACAAATGTCGCAGCAGTTAGGCCGAGACGAGTTTTAAGCAGAAACTTCTTGAGCTGTTTCCTAGTTAGTGTTATATCCCATTACTCACAAATGTCTTATATTATAACTGTTAAATAGCAATTTCATTTTTTTTGTAACATAAATCAGCGCAAAAACATTTTTTACTGTTATCCCCATCTTGTGATCACACAAATTATTTTCTTTTTATTACATGACTTCAGACTAAATATTCCAACACTTTTCAATTGTTTACATCGAAACGCGTTGTCAGGCATGTACAGAAGATAACAGCAAACGTAAAATGGTAAGACGGACGCTACAAAAATAAAATTTCTAAATGATAATTATCCTTTCGTTGCAGCTTTATACCATTTAAGTGAAGTAAAGATATTTTAATTTAAAAAAAAATGTAAAGTTAGGAAAAAATAACAAAACATGTAGGTTCTATGTAATTCTACAGATTTACAGAATCATGAAAAATAACACGGACCGCAAATAAAGATTTGACACAGCAGTATTACTTACAGAGTAAGCGATAATACGATAAAAAGGCAGTATTGAACTGGCAAGCATTAAATAGAAATAACGGTTATATTTTGATATATCAATTTATACAAAGCCGTATAGATATATACCTATTATGTCCTTTTATATTTAAGGTATTACTAAAATGATTTTAACTTCCTTCACGTTGAGCAAAAAAAAATCCACTAACTGTTTTCCTATTTGAATTTTAGAAGGCGCTACATTTAGATGTTTTATACGAATCTGTGAGGTAATATCGTTTCTACGTTAAACGGGGAGTTATTTATGTAGTGATATATCAAAATGTTTTTTTTTAACTTTTTATTATTCTTAAGAGTGAATAAAATATAGTTTCATCAAGAACAAAAAAAAAATAGCGGGACTATTGTGGGATATTTATTTACACATGTAAGTTTTCCATATATCTTGACTTTTATGGACTTAAAATGGGGAAAAAAGACAGAAAAGTAAAAAACGATGTATTTTCTACATTATGTGACAAACATCAAAAATATACTGTAGACCTGTTTTGTGTGGATTGTGACAAAGTAATCTGTGTAATTTGCCAAGCTACAGAGCATAATTCACGCAATCATAAGAGAATACTGACAGTTGACGACGCATCTACTAAATGCGCTGAAACTAAGCAGTTTTTAGATTATGAAGACAAACTTTCTATCGTTTCCAAACGTGAAAATGAAATATTGGCAGAAAATAACAAAGTAAATACAATAACAAATCAATTAAAAGACGAAACTGAATCTTTGATTAAGAAGCATAAACAGGGCATGATTGATCTGATTGAAAAACATTACAAGATGTTATATGAGAAGAATCAGCTCAAGTACGAAGAATCCAAGAAAAGATTACAAAAAGCGAATGAGCAGTTGTATAAGAATAAGAACAAAACTGCAGAAATTCGCCAGGAAATCCATGACAAAAAGGAGAGTGGACAAAACGTGGCATTGTTTATAGCTATGAAAAAATCTCAAGATAATTTACGGCAAATTGAAATTGAGATAGAAGAAACTGAAAAACTAAATTTTGTTGAAAGGTAACTATATATCTGATATATACATATAGAAACTCCTACAGTGCTACATGCTACATTAAACTTATATACTTTTATATCAAACTTTGTATAACGCAGATAGCATACATTATATACAGATATATCTTGCTTTACGTAACTTTTCTCAAAATCGCAACTCTGATCTCTGATAATAATCATAAAAAATAAAAGCTTAAAAACATTCGAATTTAATTTTGCACACTATTACACTTATAGAAATAACGCTTAGTTTATGCTTCCTTCTTAAAAGGATTGTATTGATTCAAATGAATACTGTCATGCACAAACACATACGTGTAAGTGGCTTTAGTTAAAAATAACAGAACGCCATATTTTGAGGTTAAATTTTCTTTATATGGTCATGCTGGTTTTGTAGCAATTCACATGAAACTGTTAGAATTTGATTTATAATAGAAAATTTGTAATTCATTAACATTCATAAACATTGCGCTTAAATTATGATTCCATGATTCAAGGGTTAGATTGAATCAATTAATTCGGCCGGGCACAAACATATATGTAAGTAACAAATTGTCATTACCTTACACCATAGACTCTTCATTTTAACGAAACATTCTCTCAGCCTAAAAGTGTGTTCTTTATAGTAACAAATGTACAGTAGCGGAGTAAAGATTCGTCAAGGACTCCTCGGAGAGAAAACATGATGGAAAATTATTATAAACATCGAACCAGTAAACACTCTCAACCTCATTGCTTTAATACATTTATTATCTACACTTATTACCGTTTGCCCAGTAGTAACTATCACATATATAAAGGAAAACGTAAACGTGATGGACACATCCCTCCAGAGGCGTGCACGTCGCGGAGAAGGCACACGGCAGGTCAAGGTCAAGTCATCTTAAGTACCAGAGGTGATTGGTTGGCCTGTCGTGACTAACTCTGGAGGGTTGGCGCTAATGAGAGCCGTTTTTGTTATCGTCCAGTATGGAACTTGATGCCTGGCCAGTATTGTCGTACTACTCTACCACCAACGAACGAAGAATAGGCTTTAGGAAGATTCAGCTTGAAAAAGACGTCCCCGATGTGACTACCCTAGTGGACCGGCACGGATGCTATATTCTCGGACAGATGGTTATACCGGCGCCGAGTATAAATAAACTTAAACTGACTGACTGATGGACACAATATAGTGAAATAGAATTCATAAGGAAAATCCAATACAGCAAAATTGAAAATGTTATAGAGTTGATTTAATTGTGCCTGTTAATTGACAGCACTGAAAAGTGCATGTTACCGTTCACGCCCCTTTACGCGGATATTTATATACTGTAATTGAGGAATATATACCTTTACATCCTCTATATTGATATGATATATTCGATAGTATAAATTCCCTTGGCAGGTATGAGTTTCAAGCAGGGCACATGGTGCGACAGCTTTTGGAGGAAGAGAAAGAATTTGGTGAATTGTTGGTAACGCCGTCAAAGTCTCCCAAAGGTACATGTATTGGAATCTATGTGATCATAGTTATTACTTAAATAAAAGAAAGCCGACAGTATTCTGTCTGTATAAATTAGCAGGCATATTAATTTTTCACCTTCTCAGAGAACAGAAAAAGTAGTTTCATATTATACAAACTTTATTTGTTAAAGTGAGACAGTCTAAAGTTATTTAATTTCTAAGTATTTCTGCTGTACGGAAATACAATTACAGTTGATACGATCCCATGTACAAAAACTGACTTTCTGCAAGAGAAATGGTAACTTCCGGATACATATCGGACTCTTTTACTTTTACGATTTTGTATAAGAATATTTTAAACAATGTGCATCAGTCCACAAGTTGTGGCTGAGATATTAGTAGAATATATATCTGATGGTTGTACACAATAGCGGACAATTCAACATATTATTCAGGATTTTATGTAACATAGTCATTGTTATGATGCTATTGCCAAATGTTAAAAAACAATTGTTGGTAACAAATTAACTAGATTAATGGCTCAGGTAAAACATCTAATGAATATTACAAAAATATTGCTTTTTGTAACCCGAACAAATTCAGCACGTTCATTGCTTTGATTAATCCAGCTGTCATTGCGTTAACTATTCTTTTAAAATAATGAAATGCATCATGATTATTTGGTTGTAGCATGTAATCTTTTATTAGCTCTGCTTTAAAAGTGTACCTAGAACGTTCAAAATATGTAGTGAGACTTTATTAGTTTAGTTCGGTGTATGTGGTGATTAAAGAAACAAAACATGATTAATTTATTACATGATGATTTAATGTGTATACATGTAACCTAATATCATTTAGCATATTTCTTAAAGTAAATATATATTCACCATTTGTAGTACCGCTACTTGAATTAAAACCTCCTGGTGCTTTTGTGTTACCTCGTCAGAGCAATGATATGGTACAAAAAGAAGTGACAGATGAAGATGAACAGGGTGATTACGGTAAATAAATATGTTAGAATGCTTATCAAGCATCTGATATACCTTATTTGTTGATGTAGGTTAAATAGTTTAAACGCCTGTTAATAAGATTGATAAAACAAGGAAAGGAACAGGAAGTTGATATGTATTGAAAGGGTTTTTAAGAGGGAAACATGTCATTTATTCATGGAAAATGATATATTATCGTCGAATTGTTTAAAAACAAAATACAAATTTTAATAAGGTTGATTGGCACTTCTTGTTGTCTTTCTGTTCAGGTTGAAGAGTAATTAATAGAAATTGTACCTAATTTGTAATCAAAAACATGTAACTAGTAAAGATTTTTTCCGATATCAATTTATTCTTTAAGTAGATAGATAAATTCAAGTATATTATTTTTTCTATAAAATAGAAAAAAATTAAAACATTTAAAACAACTGCAAAACGGAAAAAGTAAATAAAGATGCAGGCTTGGACTTGGACTTGTTGTGTTGGACCTTCTTTAGGGATTCTGTTTTTCTCTATTTTATTGTCACATCCGTGTTATTTTTGCCGTGTGGCGGCTGTAAAAAGTCCCCCCGTAATTTAATCAATGATGTTATATATTATCGATCCTTGAAGATCGTTCAGCACGACATTATTGTTGTGTTTGTGGTATTTTTAGTTTTAACTATTTGGCATTTTCTAGTTGGGTGGTTCCATTATTCCTAATTGAATAATGTTGAATCACCCTTAGGATATGTTGCCTGCTTTTTAAATTTGTCTTTTGACGTCTTATCTGTGATATGCAGTCTTCATAACCTCAGATCCCCTTTCAAAATTCCATTTTATTTAGTTCCGCCAATTGTTTTCTCGTTTAGGGCAAATGCATTCTTTTGCTTGGGGACCATACGCCGCTTTTCATGGAATGGCACTACTGTATCCCATTGAAGGTTCCATGATAACCGCCGCATGAACACATCTGCAGATGTTTCTAAATTCAAAATTTCACCATTTTCGTGTTAAATGTTGAATTCTGCTTAAGCCGGTGCTAGGGGGCTTGGACGGTAGTTTGCACTTTCCAGTACCGTCCATGAACAGGCTCAATCAAACCGAGCCTGCAACATTTAAAATTTTGTTATGTTGGACTTTCTTTAGGGATTCTGTTTTTCTCTAATTTTTTGGTTTGACTGAGTCTGTTCACAGATGGGAGTGGTAAGTGCAAGCTCAATCTAGACAGGTAAGCCAAATACAAGATAATGTCCAATTAAAAAAATCAACATTAATTGAACATTTGATGTTCCTTCTCCATATTTCGCTATTGTTTTGTATACTATCTTAAAGAGTTTTTTTTTTCAAATCAGTTGAATATATTTGCCCAAACATTACATGAATTATCTTTAAATATTCTTCCGAAAAATGGGTTAGTTCTGATTTTATCATACATGTCATAAGTGGAGCTAAATCCTTTCAACAACATAATATAAAAATCAATTACTTAAATCATAAGTATTTTATGATCCATTTAAAGCAATACATGTTTTCTGTAAATACAAGAACCCAGTTAAATTATGTTTTCTAAAGAGCCTGTGGGTCAACTTGCTACAGCAATACAAAATGATGATCAGAAGACTCGACAAAAATCATCTCCGCGCATAGGTTCTACTCAGTCTTTAAATATTTTATTCACTGAAGAAACACACGAACAAGAACGTTTAAGCGAAGACAACTTCAAAAATCTTAACACAGGCATGTTTCAAAGTTTAAAATTCTCTTTAGGACATATTCAATGCTTATTTGTTTTCCAAAGCGTTGTTCGTTATACTGTCCCGTCGTTATCTAAAAGACTTTTCCCAAATTACAGAGCAGATGTTTTCCGATCATTACCTATTATAAATGACAATTAAATAACCCAATACATATTTCTGGTTCAACGCCTAATAAGGTCAAAGAAGCTAGATATATATTGAAACTGATATGTTCTTGTTAGAAACTAAAGGTCGAAAACTTTTGTATCTTGTATATGGTTCTGCATATCAACCCTCTAAAAATTGAATGCGTACAACAGCAACAACCTGTGACCACTTTCAAGACTAATTTTCTAAAACGATCTTGATATTTTTCATTGTTTCAATATTTAAAAAAATTAAGGGTTGATATGTTTCGTGTTTCTACCTTTACCTTTTTGTTTTATAAAAAATTCATTCAAAGTTTGCAACTGTGATGACAAATGACTTTGCCACTGATTTTTTTTGTATTTTACGATGGAAAACGCCTTGCCATGGCTAAAATGGCGACGAGTTTTTTTAACCGCGGCAAACTTCTAAAAAAAATCGAAAAAAAATCTGACTGAATATTATTCTAACACATACTGTAGGTAATGTTTTCAATATTAATCTCAAAATTTAAAATTTCTGCCATGGCATTTTGCAATAGCATGGCCATGGCAAATATAAACAGAATTTTTTTTTTCAAAAGCATTACTTGTGAATTATCAAATCATCATCATTATTATATACATAATTATCATTGTCATCATCATTATAGTCGTAAGTATCATCATGAAGATCAAGAATCACTATCATCATCATATTTATTATTTATAAAAGTTCTAACAATTCATTATCCCAATTTCATCACCATTTATGCGCCATTTTTTTCATCTTTATCATCATTATCATCACCATCGTCGTAATCACCAAGTAATTCATCATAATCATTCACATAAATGTTTTATGAACTGAAAGCGATTGTCAATGTCCCCCTTCCTCTTCATCACCATTGTCTCTATCGTTATAGTTATTTTCATCACATCATTGTCATCAATATTTATATCATCAATTATGTCATTGTTAAAACTAACCCTTATAATATTTAACATCATCATTTTTTTCATAATCAACATCAAAATCATCAACACAATCATCATCATCATCATAATCATTTTTTTTTTCATTATGATCATCATCATCCCCGATTATCGTCAGGATAATCATTCTATTAGATTTGTAATGAACAGAAAATCCTTGTCATTCTTTTCATCCCTCTTATCGTCATCATTGTCTTCATCATTATCCCTTCAATCTTATCAGTGTCTTCTTCACAATCTGTATCATCGACATTGATATCATCAACACTACTCTTTCTCCATCATCAACAAAAAATCATTTTTAAATATCATCAGTCGAATAAGTCTTCATTATCAAAATCATCATCCAACTTATCATCACCTCATCGTCATTATCACCATTTTCATCAACAGCATTACCATCAATGCCATCACCATAACACTCATTATTATATACTGAACCAAAAAGAAACTTTCGCAAAGTATGTGCCAGTTGTTCAAGAGTACCACTTAGTTGTATACACATAAATACATGTAGTAGCTTGTAAAACTCGTTTTCTTTGCAAAATCAGTCAGCTAATCCCCGTATATAAGCCCGATATGTTTATTCAACGTAAAAATCGAGTTTCAAAAGGATTAAAAAACTGTACTAACATATCTACATTCAAACTTGGAGAAAGTTTATTTTTTGTTTCAGTATATAATGCGAATTGTTTCCAAATCGCGCGCGGCTGATTAAATCGTGTTTTTATTTGTGTTTTTTGTTTTTCAGTTATGAATCATGGTCTTCAATCATATATGAATTATATTTATTTAAATGGACAAAGCATTTTTTTGCTTTTCAATATGTCTCAATTCAAAATATAACATTCTGTATGGACGGACGCCTATATCATAATAAATAATGCAATTAAGGACATTTCAGCCTTTCTTTTGTATATGTACATATACGTACACATTCATACATTCAAAAATAAAATATTTGAGAAAATATACATTCTGCGCTAGGAACGACTAGGAAGGTTATAAAATGGGACATTGATAGATTGTATCTGGGTATTTACTTATGTTTGAACTGTTTACGTTAGAAATATATTTTCCACAATTGTGTTTAAATAACGAAAACAACTAAATGATGAATAGGAATTATGTTCCTTAAATAAACATTAGCAATTTATCTGGGTAATTTTAACTGATTTATGATTACAAACTTACACGACCATAAGACAGTATGCCATACTATTGAATGCTATGATTTCATATGGACGCA